CCATGAACTGTTATGATTTGACAAATGCACTGTATATTCGGCCTCTGCTCCCTTCTGACTGAACTTCCATGAACTGTTGATGATTTGACAAATGCACTGTATATTGACAACTGGCCGTATATTCTGCTCCCTTCTGACTGAACTTCCATGAACTGTTATGATTTGACAAATGCACTGTATATTCGGCCTCTGCTCCCTTCTGACTGGAACTTCCATGAACTGTTATGATTTGACAAATGCACTGTATATTCGGCCTCTGCCCTTCTGACTGAACTTCCATGAACTGTTATGATTTGACAAATGCACTGTATATTGTATACTGAACTTCCATGAACGGCCTCTGCCTCTGCCCCTTCTGACTGAACTTCCATGAACTGTTATGATTTGACAACTGCACTGTATATTCGGCCTCTGCTCCCTTCTGACTGAACTTCCATGAACTGTTATGATTTGACAAATGCACTGTATATTTGGCCTCTGCTCCCTTCTGACTGAACTTCCATGAACTGTTATGATTTGACAAATGCACCTGTATATTCGGCCTCTGCTCCTCTGACTGAACTGAACTGTTATGATTTCCATTGCCCTTCTTCTGACTGTCCATGAACTGTTATGATTTGACAAATGCACTGTATATTCGGCCTCTGCTCCTTCTTGACTGAACTTCCATGAACTGTTAGTGATTTGACAACTGCACTGTATATTCGGCTCCCCTTCTGACTGAACTTCCATGAACTGTTATGATTTGACAACTGCACTGTATATTCGGCCTCTGCTCCCTTCTGACTGAACTTCCATGAACTGTTATGATTTGACAAATGCACTGTATATTCGGCCTCTGCCCTTCTGACTGAACTTCCATGAACTGTTATGATTTGACAAATGCACTGTATATTCGGCCCTCACCCCTTCTGACTGAACTTCCATGAACTCACATGATTTGACAACTGCACTGTATATTCGGCTCCTGCTCCCTCTGACTGGAACTTCCATGAACTGTTATGATTTGACAAATGCATTGTATATTCGGCTCTGCTCCCTTCTGACTGAACTTCCAAGAACTGTTATGATTTGACAAATGCACTGTATATTCGGCCTCTGCCCTCTCTGACTGAACTTCATGAACTGTTAATTTGACAAAATGCACTGTATATTCGGCCTCTGCAGTTCTCTGACTGAACTTCCATGATTTGACAACTGCACTGTATATTCGGCCTCTTTAATTGCTCTGGACCCAGGATTCTGACTGAACTTCCATGAACTGTTATTACTTGACAAATGCACTGTATATTCGGCCTCTGCTGCCCCTTCTGACTGAACTTCCATGAACTGTTATGATTTGACAAATGCACTGTATATTCGGCCCTGCTCCCTTCTGACTGAACTTCCATGAACTGTTATGATTTGACCATGAACTGTTATATTTGAACAAATGCACTGCATATATTCGGCCTCTGCCCTTCTGACTGAACTTCCATGAACTGTTATGATTTGACAAATGCACTGTATATTCGGCCTCTGCTCCTTCTGACTTGAACTTCCATGAACTGTTATGATTTGACAACTGCACTGTATATCTGTATTCTGCTCCCTTCTGACTGAACTTCCATGAACTGTTATGATTTGACAACTGCCTTCTCTCAGTTCTTCTGACTGAACTTCCATGAACTGTTATGATTTGACAAATGCACTGTATATTCGGCCTCTGCCCTTCTGACTGAACTTCCATGAACTGTTATGATTTGACAAATGCATTGTATATTCGGCCTCCTGCTCCCCTTCTGACTGAACTTCCATGAACTGTTATGATTTGACAACTGCACTGTATATTCGGCCTCTGCTCCTTCTGACTGAACTTCCATGAACTGTTATGATTTGACAAATGCACTGTATATTCGGCCTCTGCCCTTCTGACTGAACTTCCATGAACTGTTATGATTTGACAAATGCACTGTATATTCGGCCTCTGCTCCCTTCTTGACTGAACTTCCATGAACTGTTATGATTTGACAAATGCACTGTATATTCGGCCTCTGCCCTTCCTTCTGAACTGTTATGATTTGAACTTGCTCCCTTCTGACTGGAACTTCCATGAACTGTTATGATTTGACAACTGCACTGTATATTCGGCCTCCTGCTCCCTTCTGACTGAACTCCATGAACTGATTTTGTGCAATTGCATATTCGGCCCTGCTCCTTTGACAAATGAACACTGTGTATATTCGGCCTCTGCCCCCTTCTGACTGAACCCATGAACTGTTATGATTTTGACAAATGCACTGTATATTGGCCCTGCTCCCTTCTGACTGAACTTCCAAGGAACTGTTATGATTTGACAAATGCACTGTATATTCGGCCTCTGCTCCTTCTGACTGAACTTCCATGAACTGTTATGATTTTGACAAATGCACTGTATATTCGGCCTCTGCTCCCTTCTGACTGAACTTCCATGAACTGTTATGATTTGACAAATGCACTGTATATTCGGCCTCTGCCCTTCTGACTGAACTTCCATGAACTGTTATGATTTGACAAATGCACTGTATATTCGGCCTCCCTCTCCTTCTGACTGAACTTCATGAACTGCATTGCCCTGATTTGACAACTGCACTGTATATTTGACGGCACTGCATATTGCTGCCCTTCTGACTGAACTTCCATGAACTGTTATGATTTGACAAAATGCACAAATGCTGACTGAATCATATGTCGGCAACTGCACTGTATATTCGGCCTCTGGGTTCCCTTCTGACTGAACTTCCATGAACTGTTATGATTTGGACAAACTGTATATTCTGGCCTCTGCCCTTCTGACTGAACTTCCATGAACTGTTATGATTTGACAACCGCACTGTATATTCGGCCTTCTGCCCTCTCTGACTGAACTTCCATGAACTGTTATGATTTGACAAATGCACTGTATATTATTCTGGCCTCTTCTGACTGGAACTTCCATGAACTGTTATGATTTGACAACTGCACTGTATATTCGGCCTCTGCTCCCTTCTGACTGAACTTCCATGAACTGTTATTACTTGACGGCACTGTATCTGGCCCCCTCTCTGACTGAACTTCCATGAACTGTTATGATTTGACAATGCACTGTATATTCGGCCTCTGCTCCCCTTCTGACTGAACTTCCATGAACTGTTATGATTTGACAACTGCACTGTATATTCGGTCCTCTGCTCCCTTCTGACTGAACTTCCATGAACTGTTATGATTTGACAAATGCACTGTATATTCGGCCTCTGCTCCCTTCTGACTGAACTTCCATGAACTGCTATGGATTTGACAAATGCACTGTATATTCGGCCTCCTGCTCCCCTTCTGACTGAACTGAACTGTTATGATTTGACAAATGCACTGTATATTCGGCCTCTGCCCTTCTGACTGAACTTCCATGAACTGTTACAGATTTGACAACTGCACTGTATATTCGGCCTCGCTCCTCTTCTGACTGAACTTCCATGAACTGTTATGATTTGACAACTGCACTGTATATTCGGCCTCTGCCCCTCTGACTGAACTTCCATGAACTGTTATGATTTGACAAATGCACTGTATATTCGGCCTCTGCTCCCCTTCTGACTGACTGAATTCCATGAACTGTTATGGATTTGACAAATGCACTGTATATTCCGGCCTGACTGAACTTCTTGAACTGACTCGAACATTTTCCCTTCTTGACTGAACTGTTATGATTTGACAAATGCACTGTATATTCGGCCTCTGCTCCCTTCTGACTGAACTTCCATGAACTGTTATGTGATTTGACAAATGCACTGTATATTCGGCTTCTGGCCTTCTGACTGGAACTTCCATGAGTGAACTGTTATGATTTGACAAATGAACTGTATATTCGGAACTGCCCTTCACTGAACTTCCATGAACTGATTTGACAACTGCACTGTATATTCGGCCTCTGCTCCTTCTGACTGAACTTCCATGAACTGTTATGATTTGACAAATGCACTGTATATTCGGCCTGCCCTTCTGACTGAACATCCATGAACTGTTTGATTTGACAAATGCACTGTATATTCGGCCTCTTCCTTCTGACTGAAATCCATGAACTGTTATGGATTTCGGCCCCTGTATATCCCTCCCTCTGACTGAACTTCCATGAACTGTTATGGATTTGACAACTGACCGTATATTCGGCCTCTGCTCCTTCTGACTGAACTTCAGAACATGAACTGTTATTCGGATTTGACTGAAAATGAACTGTATTTTTGCCAACTCTACTCCTTCTGACTGAACTTCCTTGAACTGATTTGACAAATATGATTTGACAACTGCACTGTTATATTCGACAACTGCCTGTGTTATCTTCCCTTCTGACTGAACTTCCATGAACTGATTTGACAACTGCACTGTATATTTGACTGAAATGAACTGTTATGATTTGACAATGGCCTCTCCCTTCTGACTGAACTTCCATGAACTGTTATGATTTGACAACTGCACTGTATATTTCAGCCTCTGCTCCTTCTGAATGAACTTCCATGAACTGGCGATTTTATAAATGCACTGTATATTCGGCCTCTGCTCCTTCTGACTTAACTTCCATGAACTGTTGTGATTTGACAAATGCACTGTATATTCGGCCTCTGTCTTTCTGACTTAGAATCATGAACTGCGATTTGGACAAATGCACTGTATACTGCCCTTCTGAGTTTGAACAGGAATGCACTGTATATTCGGCCTCTGCTCCCTTCTGTTGGAACTTCCATGAACTGTATGTAGATTTGACAACTGCACTGCTGTATTCATCTGCTCTTCTGACTGGAACTTCCATGAACTGTTATGATTTGACAAATGCACTGTATATTCGGCCTCTGCTCCCTTCTGGCCGAACTTCATGAACAGACCCATGATTTGACTCGATGCACTGTCGGCCTCTCCTTCTGGCTGAACTTCCATGAACTGTTATGATTTGACAAATGTTGATGCACTGTATTCGGCCTCTGCTCCTCTGACTGAACTTCCATGAACTGTTATGATTTGACAACTGCACTGTATATTCGGCCTCTGCTCCCTTCTGACTGAACTTCATGAACTGTTATGATTTGGACAAAATGCACTGCTATATTCGGCCTCTGCTCCCTTCTGACTGAACTTGTTATGATTTGACAAATGCACTGTATATTCGGCCCCTCTGCTCCCTTCTGACTGAACTTCCATGGAACTGTTGATGAATTTGACAAATGCACTGTATATTCGGCTTGACAAATCTCTGCTCCCTTCTGACTGAACTTCCATGAACTGTTATGATTTGACAAATGCACTGTATATTCGGCTGCTCCCTTCTGACTGAACTTTCCATGAACTGTTATGATTGGACAAATGCACTGTATATTCGGCCTCTGCTCCCTTCTGACCTGAACCCATGAACTGTTATGATTTGGCAAATGCACTGTATATTCGGCCTCTGCCCCTTCTGGACTGAACTTCCATGAACTGTTATGATTTGACAACTGCACTGTATATTCGGCCTCTGCTCCCATCTGAACTGGAACTTCCATGAACTGTTGTGATTTGACAAATGCACTGTATATTCGGCCTCTGCTCCCTTCCTCTGAACTTCCATGAACTGTTATGATTTGACAAATGCACTGTATATTCGGCCTCTGCTCCTTCTTGACTTCCATGAAAATTTGAACTTTGGCCTCTGATTTGAACAAATGTTATGATTTCAACTGCACTGTATATTCGGCCTCTGCTCCCTTCTGGATTGAACTTCCATGAACTGTTATGGATTTGACAACTGCACCGTATTCGGCCTTCTGACTCCCTTGATTTGACTGAACTTCCATGAACTGTTATGATTTGACAAATGCACTGTATATTCGGCCTCTGCTCCCTTCTGACTGAACTTCCATGAACTGTTATGATTTGACAAATGCACTGTATATTCGGCCTCTGCCCCTTCTGACTGAACTTCCATGAACTGTTATGGATTTGACAAATGCACTGTATATTCGGCCTCTGCTCCCTTCTGACTGAACTTCCATGAACTGTTATGATTTGACAAATTGTACGTATATTCGGCCTCTGCTCCTTCTGACTGAACTTCCATGAACTGTTATGATTTGACAAATGCACTGTATATTCGGCCTCTGCTCCTTCTGACTGAACTTCCATGAACTGTTATGATTTGACAAATGCACTGTATATTCGGCCTCTGCTCCTCTCTGACTGAACTTCCATGAACTGTTATGGATTTGACAAATGCACTGTATATTCGGCCTCTGCCCTTCTGACTGAAACTTCCATGAACTGTTGTGATTTGACAAAATTCGGCCCTGCTCCCTTCTGGACTGAATGAACGGATTTGACAAATGCACTGTATATTCGGCCTTCTCCTTCTGACTGAACTCCATGAATCCGTTATGATTTGACAAATGCACTGTATATTCGGCCTCTGCTCCCCTTCTGACTGAACTTCCATGAACTGTTATGATTTGACAAATGCACTGTATATTCATTCTGCCCCTTCTGACTGAACTTCCATGAACTGTTATGATTTGACAACTGCACTGTATATCGGCCTCTGCTTCCCTTCTGACTGAACTTCTGAATGAACTGTTAAGTGATTTGACAACTGCACTGTATATTCGGGCTCTGCTCCCTTCTGACTGAACTTCCATGAACTGTTATGATTTGACAACATTCTGCTGGACTGTATATTGACAAATGGTATATCTGGGCTCCTTCTGACTGAACTTCCATGAACTGTTATGATTTGACAAATGCATTGTATATTCGGCCTCTGCTCCCTTCTGACTGAACTTCCATGAACTGACTGTTATGATTTGACAAATGCACTGTATATTCGGCCTCTGCTCCCTTCTGACTGAACTTCCATGAACTGTTATGATTTGACAACTGCACTGTATATTCGGCCTCTGCTCCCTTCTGACTGAACTTCCATGAACTGTTGTGATTTGACAATGCACTGTATATTGGCCTCCTGCTTCCCTTCTGACTGAACTTCCATGAACTGTTATGATTTGACAAATGCACTGTATATTCGGCCTCCTGCTCCTTCTGACTGAACTTCCATGAACTGTTATGATTGGACAAATGCACTGTATATCGGCCTCTGCTCCCTGACTGCTCCTTCAAATGACTGAACTTCCATGAACTGTTACTGTTATTTGACAAATGCACTGTATATATTCGGCCTCTGCTCCTTCTGACTGAACTTCCATGAACTGTTATGATTTGACAACACTGTATATTCGAACTGCCCCTTCTGACTGAACTTCCATGAACTGTTATGATTTGACAAATGCACTGTATATTCGGCCTCTGCTCCTTCTTCTGACTGAACTTCCATGAACTGTTATGATTTGACAAATGCACTGTATATTCGGCCTGCTCCCTTCTGACTGAACTTCCATGAACTGTTATGATTTTTGACAACGGTTGACAACTGCACTGTATATTCGGCCTCTGCTCCCTTCTGACTGAACTTCCATGAACTGTTATGATTTGACAAATGCACTGTATATCGGGCCCCTCTGCTCCCTTCTGACTGAACTTCCATGAACTGTTATGATTTGACAACTGCACTGTATATTCGGCCTCTGCTCCCTTCTGACTGAACTTCCATGAACTGTTATGATTTGACAAATGCACTGTATATTCGGCCTCTGCTCCCTTCTGACTGAACTTCCATGAACTGTTATGATTTGACAAATGCACTGTATATTCGGCCTCTGCTCCCTTCTGACTGAACTTCCATGAACTGTTATGATTTGACAAATGCACTGTATATTCGGCCCTGCTCCCTTCTGACCTTCCTGACTTGAACTTCCATGAACTGTTGACTGATTCCATGAACAATGATTTGACAAACTGTATATTCGGCCTCTGCTCCCTTCTGACTGAACTTCCATGAGTTATGATTTGACAAATGCACTGTATATTCGGCCTCTGTTCCCTTCTGACTGAACTTCCATGAACTGTTATGATTTGACAAATGCACTGTATATTCGGCCTCTGCTCCCTTCTGACTGAACTTCCATGAACTGTTATGATTTGACAAATGCACTGTATATTCGGCCTCTGCTCCCTTCTGACTGAACTTCCATGAACTGTTATGATTTGACAAATGCACTGTATATTCGGCCTCTGCTCCCTTCTGACTGAACTTCCATGAACTGTTATGATTTGACAAATGCACTGTATATTCGGCCTCTGCTCCCTTCTGACTGAACTTCCATGAACTGTTATGATTTGACAAATGCACTGTATATTCGGCCTCTGCTCCCTTCTGACTGAACTTCCATGAACTGTTATGATTTGACAAATGCACTGTATATTCGGCCTCTGCTCCCTTCTGACTGAACTTCCATGAACTGTTATGATTTGACAAATGCACTGTATATTCGGCCTCTGCTCCCTTCTGACTGAACTTCCATGAACTGTTATGATTTGACAAATGCACTGTATATTCGGCCTCTGCTCCCTTCTGACTGAACTTCCATGAACTGTTATGATTTGACAAATGCACATATTCGGCCTTTTTGACTGAACTCCATGAACTGTTATGATTTGACAAATGGCCTCTGCTCCCTTCTGACTGAACTTCCATGAACTGTTATGATTTGACAAATGCACTGTATATTCGGCCTCTGCTCCCTTCTGACTGAACTTCCATGAACTGTTATGATTTGACAAATGCACTGTATATTCGGCCTCTGCTCCCTTCTGACTGAACTTCCATGAACTGTTATGATTTGACAAATGCACTGTATATTCGGCCTCTGCTCCCTTCTGACTGAACTTCCATGAACTGTTATGATTTGACAAATGCACTGTATATTCGGCCTCTGCTCCCTTCTGACTGAACTTCCATGAACTGTTATGATTTGACAACTGCACTGTATATTCGGCCTCTGCTCCCTTCTGACTGAACTTCCATGAACTGTTATGATTTGACAACTGCACTGTATATTCGGCCTCTGCTCCCTTCTTCTGACTGAACTTCCATGAACTGTTATGATTTGACAAATGCACTGTATATTCGGCCTCTGCCCCTTCTGACTGAACTTCCATGAACTGTTATGATTTGACAAATGCACTGTATATTCGGCCTCTGCTCCTTCTGACTGAACTTCCATGAACTGTTATGATTTGACAACTGTATATTCGGCCTCTGCACTCCATGAACTATTCGGCCTCTGTATATTCCCTTCTTGACTGAACTTCCATGAACTGTTATGATTTGACAAATGCACTGTATATTCGGCCTCTGCTCCCTTCTGACTGAACTTGAACTTCCATGAACTGTTATGATTTGACAAATGCACTGTATATTCGGCCTCTGCTCCCTCTGACTGAACTTCCATGAACTGTTATGATTTGACAAATGCACTGTATATTCGGCCTCTGCTCCCTTCTGACTGAACTTCCATGAACTGTTATGTTATTTGACAACTGCACTGTATATTCGGCCTCTGCTCCCTTCTGACTGAACTTCCATGAACTGTTATGATTTGACAAATGCACTGTATATTCGGCCTCTGCTCCTTCTGACTGAACTTCCATGAACTGTTATGATTTGACAAATGCACTGTATATTCGGCCTCTGCCCTTCTGACTGAACTTCCATGAACTGTTATGATTTGACAAATGCACTGTATATTCGGCCTCTGCTCCCTTTGACTGAACTTGAACTTCAAATGAACTGTTATGATTTGACAACTGCACTGTATATTCGGCCTCTGCTCCCTTCTGACTGAACTTCCATGAACTGTTATGATTTGACAAATGCACTGTATATTCGGCCTCTGCTCCCTTCTGACTGAACTTCCATGAACTGTTATGATTTGACAAATGCACTGTATATTCGGCCTCTGCTCCCTTCTGACTGAACTTCCATGAACTGTTATGATTTGACAAATGCACTGTATATTCGGCCTCTGCTCCCTTCTGACTGAACTTCCATGAACTGTTATGATTTGACAACTGCACTGTATATTCGGCCTCTGCTCCCTTCTGACTGAACTTCCATGAACTGTTATGATTTGACAAATGCACTGTATATTCGGCCTCTGCTCCCTTTCTGACTGAACTTCCATGAACTGTTATGATTTGACAAATGCACTGTATATTCGGCCTCTGCTCCTTCCTGAACTTTGAACTGACTGTATATTGAACTTCCATGAACTGTTATGATTTGACAAATGCACTGTATATTCGGCCTCTGCTCCCTTCTGACTGAACTTCCATGAACTGTTATGATTTGACAAATGCACTGTATATTCGGCCTCTGCTCCTTCTGACTGAACTTCCATGAACTGTTATGATTTGACAAATGCACTGTATATTCGGCCTCTGCTCCCTTCTGACTGAACTTCCATGAACTGTTATGATTTGACAAATGCACTGTATATTCGGCCTCTGCTCCCTTCTCTGAACTTCCCTTCTGACTGAACTTCCCCACTGGAACTTCCATGAACTGTTATGATTTGACAATGCACTGTATATTTGGCCTCTGCTCCCTTCTGACTGAACTTCCATGAACTGTTATGATTTGACAAATGCACTGTATATTCGGCCTCTGCTCCCTTCTGACTGAACTTCCATGAACTGTTATGATTTGACAAATGCACTGTATATTCGGCCCTCTGCTCCCTTC